ACAACACTAACTTAAAGCCTTTTCAATGCAAGGAAAGAGCCCCTGCATCCACGCCCCCCCCCCCCCCCCCCCCCCCCCCCCCCCCCCCCCCCCCACCCCCCCCCCCCTCCCCCCCCCCCCCTAGTTTGAGTAAATGGAAAATTAATCGGATTAGTTTGTCAGAAATTGTATATCCTCCTTTAATAGATTTATCATGCTTATTAATATGGAAGCGTGCATAATTTAAACAATCAAAATTGATTACATAGCTTCTACAACTTTCATGGAAAGTTTATACATACTTGAAGTCTCTAATTCACATCACGTTCATTTTTTATATTACATTCCATAATTATAAATTGATCAATAATATTGAGATACAAGATAATTGGGTTATTTGTCTATACTCTCATATGCTCCTTAATTTTTTTTTAAATAGTCATTATAATATCTGATGAGCTAAGCATTTGGCGAGATAAACAATTTAAATATAAGGCTCAAATATACAAAATATAAGTAATGATATACATGCTGGTCTGTTGAACTAGCATGAGCATTTCTAATTATAGACATCATTATCTTAACACAATGATATATTTTAAAGCAAATTCACTTTAACATTTAAATAAATAAAAGACATAATTTTAAGCAAATGGAATATATGTAAGAAAATGGAATACATCAGTCAAATTCAAAATCACAAAGTGCACTCTACTTACCAATTTACTAGCACAGCTTTTATTTTCATTTTTCATTACTGCTCATTATTTATGTAGAAATATCATATATATTCTTTCAGCACATTTTTATCATTGGTCATCAGTCATTACTAGCCCGTAAGCTCTAAAAACTACTGATAAAGTTTGGATAGTCCAACATATAAATATTGATAACACCTCAACCTCAAGGTTGAACCTTATAATATCAATTGTTTATGGTCGAGAGTCGGATATTTTTTCTTCTATAAAGGCTCATCTCATTAGAACTTTTGCCTCTCATGCATGTCATCATAATCTGTCAACCTATCCCACATAACATGACCTTACATTGACTTAGTTCAATTTAATATCATGAACATTAACATTTTAAATTGCAATGCTTAGCATTAATATTCACATGTTATCACTTGATTTATTTAACATGTGTCAAGGGTAGACATGATATGTGCTAATCAACATCTATGGACTTTAATAAGTTATTTAAATATTCTTTCTTAAAAATATCTTGAATTTCATTAAACAAGTGATCCTATAAAAATTCATTAAACTTGTTAAAATTATCATAACATGCTGAATTTGAAAAAATAACTACTTATAATTTAATGAAATTATAGAATTTAGATAATTATTAAATCCTAAGAAACATTTGCTCCTGAAATTAGAAATTGAGTATGCAACATGAAAATATTAGATCGTCTTCAGGATGAATATCCTGATTCTATCAACTCGACATTTTGCTCTTTTATAAACAACCAAATAAGACAAAATTTCACAATTTAAAATAAATTCCTAATTTTCCTTATCGAAACTAGCTCATTTGCATTAAATAATATTTTTACCTCAAATTGATTTCTCCCCATTCAAGCCTTCAATCCTTATAAAATCAAATCAAAACTCAATTCGTGAAAAATATATTAAATTAGGATTATTACCAAAAGTCTTGATTTCTCATCTTCCCCTTTTCTTCTTCTTTCTTCTTCTCCCTTTTACTATCTCCTTCCCTTTTTCTTCTTCTCTTTTCCTTTCTCTTCTTATTTCCTTCTTCCCTTCCTTTTCATCTCTTCTCTTCCCTTCCCCTCCCCTTCCCTTCTCTTCTCTTCTCTTCTTCCTCCCCTCTTCTTTTTTTTTTTAATTCTTTGTTAAGTGTTGCAGAGATGAGGATGCTCAAGTGGATGAGTAGCTTTACTCGTAGAGACAGAATATGAAATGAGCATAGACGTTAAAAGGTTGGATTAGCTCCAATGGAAGATAAGATTAGGGAGAGTCCATTAGATGGTTTGGTCACATAAAACGGCAGTCTTTTGATGACCCGGTTAGAAAAATAGATATATCAGATTTGGCTTATGTTAAGAAAGGTAGAGATAGATCTAAAATGACTTGGTTAGAAAATATTAGAAATGACCTTTCTTTTTAGATTTGAATGAGAATTTGACTCTTAACAAGACAAAATGAAAAAAAAAAAAATTCATGTAGCCAATTTGATAGGAAACACTTGGATTTCCAAGTGTTTCTTACCCAAAACCAAGAAGAACCAATGCCAAACTGCTGTCCACAGTGGAAATCAGCCAGGAAACAGGGAAAGACAGGAAGAAAACGCGAGAAATCTGAGAAGAAATTGCACAAAACTATTGTATTTCAATAGTAGAAGCAAAAACCATAAGAAAGATACAATGTTCTTCGATTCGAGAGGAAGAACAACTCTCCAACAATCTCCGGCAACGCCAAGAGCCCAAACAAGAAACCCTAGAACTCCAAGAGATTACAAATTCAAGATAATCCCTCATTCACACCCAAAACCCCTAATTAACCATAAAGGAGTTTTACAAAATGTCTAAACAGCCCATCGCATTCAAAATTTCCCTCCCAAAAATCTTCCCTGGCCCCCGTCGGCTTCGCTTCGCCCGCTCGGTTCCGCCTCCCGCTCGCGGTTCCGTCGCGAGTAAACATGGACCGGTCCAGGTAGGACCGGTCCAACCGGCCCCTCCTGGGCCGGCGTAACACAAGCCCACGTAGTTTTCTTCCTCATGCAGCTTTTAAGAAGGGAATTGAATATAAAATAAGGTTTAGGATAAGGTTTATAAGTAAATTATTGCTTCTCAATAATTTCCTTACAACTATCACTTGTTAACTGGCATTTGTAGATTCGATTTTACCTAAAGTACAAAATTGCTATAGTGCTATAAAATTTGAGTGCTACATATCATGTGAGAGATAGATTAGCATATAATGATACCTTGCATATGAAGAGCAAAAATTCTGACGAGATGAACTTCAATGGGTAAAATGATAGTTCTCAACTCTCGATACCAAAAGGTTGATACTATAAGGTTTAATGATAAAATCAAGGGGCTATTGATAATTGTTATGTTGGATTGTCCAATCTTTATCAGTACTTTTTAGAAATGATAGGCCGAGAGATTAGTAATGATATAAATATACCAAAAGCTTACATGCCTCGTATGACATTTTAAAGATTAATTAACAATAATGAAAATAAAATGAAAGTGGGCAAGAAATTTCATAAAAATAATTTATAAGTATGGTGCACTTGATGATTTAAAACTTGGCATGTATACTTCATTTTCTTACAAATATTCATACTACTTAAAATTATGTCTTATATTTATTTAAGTATAAAAGAAAGTCTTTTTTCTTTTTAGTTTTTCACTCCATAAAGCTAACTATATCTATAATAAAAAATACTCTCATTAACTCAAAAGACCATAATGCATATTATTTCTATCTTGTATGTTTGACATTTATATTAAATTATTTATCCCACATAGAGTTTACCTCATCAAATATTATGATGCCATTTTTTCAAAAAAGAAAACGGAGCATGTGGGACCATAGGTAGATGACCTAGTTTATCATGCACCTTAATATTGTGGATGGATATATAATCGTGGATATAATAAAGAAATGAATGTACATTATATAAATTAAAAACTTCTTATATGTATAATTTTTTAAGAAATTATCAAAAACTGTCTTATTTTCATGATTTAAATTATGCATGTTTTTATATCATTGATTATAATGAATCTCTTAAAAGATATTAAATGATAAGAAAGATATTTTGAGATGATCTACGCAATTTATTTTTCTACTCTCAATCCTATTTAGAAAGACAAGCTAAGAAATTTGTTGATGAAAAATAGGTTATTATCTGCCGTTATTCGGTCTAATGGTTGATTAGACGAGTTCAAAATGTAGCATAACAATTATCTCACTTGATTTCTCTAATGATGTATAACCTCAAATATAGACTTAATTAACTTAAATGGATTGCATTATCTACGAAGGTTTCAAAATCATTCTGCATGCCCCCTAAAATAATAGATTATAAAAAAGTGCATGTTCTACCAAATTGATATTTTGCAATTAAAACAAAAAGCCTAATTTTGGGTGTTCCTTATTTGAAAGCTAAATATAAGATTTTAGAATTCTAATTTTGTAATGGACACAAAATTTTTGAACATTCAATGATCCAATCATTTCACCTAACTTGCTTAATGAGTCAAGCTGACTTGAGCTCGACTCATTAATCAAGCTCGCGAGCCGAGCTTATCGAGTTGCGAGCTAGAGCTAGAGCTAGAGTAGAATTTCGAGCTTGTTGGATTATCGAGCTTGAGTTTGATCCACATGATTCTCGGCTCGATTACTTGTCAAGCAGCTCAGAAAGCAAAAGGAAAACCAGCGAAGCATAAAAGGCAAAGCGTGGAAGAAGAACTGACGAAGCACGTCTGCACGTGCAAATTGGCGAACTGTGGCAAGTGAGCTGGCGAAGCATGTGCGAATTACAGAAGGAAAAGCGTGTGTGAACCACGGAAGGTGAATTAGCCTCTACGCGTGCAAACCGTGGAAGGTGAACTAGCATCTGTGCGCTCGAACCCCGGAATCGAGCTACTCGACAAGCTCATTTTCGGTGGCACAAGTCGAGCTCGAGCTTGCCTTTTGAGCTCGACTCAAGTTCGAGCTCGGGATTTGGATCGCGAGTCAAGCTCAAGTTAGTCCTGACTCCAGCTCGACTCGACTCGTTTGCACCCCTAGTATTTATAGTCTATAGTTATAGTCAATAACAATAAAGAATTTTGGCTGCTTCCAACCAATCCTACAAAAGTTCCATTCATTGAATTCAGTTCATTCAGCAAGGCATAACAGTTTAGAAGCACAACCAAGCGATCTCATTTATGCGATCTACTTTACAGTATATTGCACAATAAAAACACAATAAAGTTAACCTAGCCAACTTTATTGCAAATTAAGCCTTGAAGTTGATGAGCGAGAATACATTATTACCTGCCGAACAGATCCAGAAACTTTATTATGCCGAGTGGATGCTAGCACAGGTCTCATATCTTGAGGTAGTTGTGCCTATCAAAAATAAATCAAAAAAAAAAAAACAGTGCATATTATATCAGCAGAAATGAAATAAGAAAACAGTTTTTTTAAGTCATGGATAATGGGGAGAAGATCAACATACTAGTAAAGGATATTTTCCCTTGAGAAAATCACCATCCTCTTGCCCTTTATTATTAGCATTTAAGTTTGCTGAAGCAGTTTTTCTAGCAAGAACTTCAAGGGCCCATTTCCTTTTATCAGTTTTAGCATCAGATAGACAAGAATGCTCCTTTGAAGTTGCTATACTGTCTTTAGAGCCGCTAGAGCCAGAACTTTGAAGTGGGTCTGCTGCTGCTTGGCATGAATTTGCTTTACAGTTTGAAGTTTCTCCTGGGAAACATGAAGAATGTATGTTTTTGCCTATACTGTCACAATAGTTAGCTTTAAGTTGCAATGAGTTTTTGGAAATTTGAATTGAATTTTTCTTTGAGTTTTTATCATCATTCAAAGTACCCCTAGCAATATTTATCGAGCTTCCTTCCTTTTCCTGAATATGGTTATCAAGCTGAGAACTTCCTGACAATGCTGACAGAGGCTTTATATCATCTTTTCTAGGAAATAGAGATGCATCAGCTATATATACTCTAGACAAGATGGAGTCTTCACTTTCCTCATGAGAATCTCGTTCCATTGAGCTATTCCAGTTAGGATCAGTAGCCTTTTTCAAGAGTTCAAGAACTGATTGCAGTGTCTCAACCTTATCGGGTTGTGCTCTTCTACATCGATGCTTCCAGAACTCAATCTCCAGATCCCTCGCCCATGCATGTCTTCTCCTTCCACTTACAGTTCCATAAATCTTTTTGGTAAGATTTTCACGTTTCTTTCCTTTAATAAGAAGAGGCTTTTTTGCTCCTATATGAACAAGTTCAGACCTACTTGTCAATTTGGTCTTTGGTCTTACTATTGCAGCTCTAAATGCTTCCAGAAGCTTTTCATCAAAGTTACTCTTTCCACCGCCTTTCGAGGCTTTATGTTGAACCACTTCTCTTATCTCTTTCCCTAGTTCTTGAACTATGATGGATGATTCTTTTTTCTCTCCAACTCTTCTCATGATCTTTTTCACTCTCAACCCACAAGCACCATCTTTTTTTCCTATGGATTTATTAGCAGCCTTCATTTCTGCTGGCATATCATGGGAAGTGCTATAACTTTCTTGAACTATGCTCATAATATCTGGGGCCTCGGCATCATCTTTTTTGGCATATCTTAATCTAGCATCTCTATTTTCTCTTGAGCGCACTTGAGACACATCTAAAGAAGACAAATCAGATTGATTTCCTGCAGGAAAAGTTTTAGATTTTCCATCCAATTTTAGTTTCTTCATAGGATATACAGTTTCTGGTTCCTTTTTCCTATTGCAACCATTGTTCCCATTCATATTTCTGAAAAGAGAAAAGAAATTGTATGAGAACAGCCAAGCATAATCCTTACCTATCTTAAAACTATTCAACAACTCAAGGGCTGAAACTAACTCGGAAAAAAATTGCATTCCTTAAGTTGCAAATTGAAAATTGTGAAACTTTGCAACAAATACAAATTTAATAGAGGATTCTAGATCCTGACAGGTGAGCTGCAAGCTAACTATGCTAATTCGGTTCTTTCTTTAGCATCACCACTGTAAAAGCAAGTTAAAAGAAACAACAAAATAAATTAGAATATTGAACCAGCCGCGTCAATTAAAACGAATCAACGAGCCGGTTTTGTTTCATGCATACATAGGAGGGGCTCAGGTGGAAGAGTTGACCACATGCAAGACTATGGGAGATAGATAATTAGAGAGCAAAAGAAAGCAGGTAAGATAACGAGGGAAAGCCAGACAAAGAGAGGGGAGAAAGCAAGCACGGAAACGCAGGAGATCTCATCACTGAGCAAAGAAGAAGGGTAACGAGAGGTAGGCGAGCGAATTCGTCAACCAGGGCAGTGCACATGTGAAGAAATGTGACGATTGATGAAGGCTTGTTTTTTCCACAAGAAAATTGAACAACAAAGGTTCCTGGTTGCATGTTAGGGTCAAAAGGGTAGACCTAAAAATACTTGGTTAGAAAAAATTAGAAATGATCTTTCTTTATTAGATTTAAATGAGAATTTGACTTTTAACAGGACACAATGGCTAAAAAGGATTCATGTACTGATGAGGACATCGTCAGCATTTTCGACGCCGGAGATCGATGGTTACGAGCATGAGTTGTATTTTCATTATTTTATGTAGTAGTTTATTTTTATTTTATGTTTTTCGGTTTTTGCCCTTATGGGTATTTGGTCGCTATTGTAGCCCAAGGGGCATTTTAGTCTTTTGCTTTTTATTTGTCATTGTGAGGCCTATTTATATGGTCATTCTCTTGTAATAGATAGTTTTTTCTGAACGTTGGGTTTAATTAACATTTAATGTTGCCTAAATCACCTCCTTAATTTAAGCCATCAAATAAATTGGTTGGATTTGAAATTCAAATTCAAATTCAATCCAATTAAATGCTTAAGTTAGGAACCCTCTATTTTTACCCAAAACTGAATTGTTAATTTCAGATTTTATTAAATTTGAGATTAATTTCGTGGACCCCACTTGCTTAATCTCCTCTTCCCCCTTTTCTCCCCCTTGGCCGGCCCCCTCCTTGGTCTCTTCTCTCTCTCCTAATCACCCCTTTAACTCCACAAAATCCTTCCCCTTTCACCGCCCCATTAATACCATTTGGATTAATTTGAATCCCTCAAATTAATTCCCTCCCACCTCTACCAAAACAGAAATTCCTGCACCCAACTCATGGTTTCTCCCTTGGCCGAATTCTCCCAAGCCCGCCAAAGCTCGCGTGCTTCTCCCGGGCCGCCGAATACACCTTCAAGAAATTGCTGGCAAGAATTCCCTACTCCGGCCACCTATCCAAGAACGACGATCCAAGGTTCCTTCTTCCTCGGAGCGACCTCGATTCTAAGGTGGAAACTCTTCTTCCGCTGAAGCCTAGACTAGTTGAGCGTATGGGCTCCAAAGGTGAAAGTTCTCTTTATTAATTCGTGGATTCTTGTTTATTGTCGTAGCATACAATTATTCTTTGCATTTTCTTGAATTGATTGGTTAATCGAATGTCGCTCTTTGTTGCCTAAGCGAGTTAAAACTAAGAATTCTTAGGTTCTCTTTTATTACAAATGATAATTTTAATTTGGCTTACTTTGTTCAAATTGCTCTCTATAATTTCCTAAAGTAACTCCATCACATGTATGTTTCACATCATGTACCCAACCCCACGTAGTGGGACAAAGGCTTGATGTTGTTGTTGTTGTTGTTCTTTTCCTCCTTCACAAGCAAGGTAAGGCAAAAACACTAACAAATTTATTTTGGATTTTTTATGAACTCAAATGGAAACCTTAAGCATAGCTTTATATTTCAAGGTAATTTTGCTAAGGTTATGACCAAAATAGGGTAGGTAGATAGGAAGAAGAAGAAAAAAAATAAGAAAGTTCCGTAAAAAAAAATAGTACTTAAGGTAGTCATTAAATTAGAAAATTAAAATGTTATTGTTTCATGGATGCAAGAAGTTTATTATATTTTATGTTGAGTGAATAATTTAAAATATTAATATTATTATTTTTTATTTAGGTTAAATGAGAAGAAGAGGCAAATTAATTTTGTAGTTTGATTTTTCTAAAGTAAACCAAATTAAGAGGTTCAATAAAAAAAGGATGATTCTTATATGAAATATTAGAATTAAGAAGAAAATAAATGATTTGCATGGATATCTCATAAGAATGATTATAAGTATTCAATTAAAGGGGGTTGAACTTAAAGATTAATGGGGTAAAGCAAATCTTTAAAATTAAAGTCAGTAATTATTATTTTATTTTATGGTAATTCTCAATTCTTATCTCCATATGATGCAATGAGCGATGCATTCTTGTAATAATATATTGAATAGTGCTAATAATACAACTTTTTCACTGAACCACTAAAAGAATGTTTTCTTTTCTTGCAAAAAGGACTTCATGTTGCTATAATTGTTAGATTAAAATGCATTTTTATTTCAACCTCCTGCATTGGGAGTTTAAAATGTATATATAAATGATGAAAAGAATGAAATGAATATAAAAAGGAAATAAATGTACACATTGAACGAAGCAGTTCACCCCCTTTTGGCATTTAGCTAGGGAAGCTAAGGTATCTGTGTGTAAAATGAAAATTGTTTGGAAAAACAAATAGAAATTGTTGTGCCTCAAACAATACACATTTTAAACAACACTCATGTGACGATTGTTTTATTAAAATGCTATAATATTATAAATACTTAACTAAATGTCATGTTATAAAATGATGTCTGCTCTTTCTTTTCCTAAAAAAAATTACTAATGTATACGCTTCAAATTTTTATTAAAATGAAAGATTAATGATTACTTATGATGGATGCTTGCATTTTATTTCTATTCTTGAAATTGTATACTATAGAACTGTAATTAGCCATTGAGTTTGTAGTGTGATTTAACCCGATATAAAACTTCCATTTTTCAGAAAAGGATCATCTAAATTATATAGGTGATAGAGAAGGATTTGTGTACATAAGAGATGCCGGTGAGAAGTATTAAAGAACATACGTATTTTGTTTTAGTTAATTTGTTGAGATGTATGAAATAGAACCAATTTGTGGATGGTTTAAATATGAACAAAATTTTGTTGATTATAGGCTATTTATATTTTGGATGATGTCATTGTTGGCTTATAATATTAGTTGAAAAGAATTAAACTACATTTGACCAGCCATTCCCGCCTTTCCCTTCCAAGCTCTCCAACATGATCGTAATAACCACAATTTGATAGTAATAGGTGTGGAAACAATAATAATAATAATAAGTGACCCTACTTCAAAAAATCTATCTACAAGCAAGAAAGGCAGTGTCACAATAATATTTGTTTAAAATTATCTTTAGGAAAATATTTTAGCAAAGTTCATTTTGTCTTTGCAACACAAAGATAGAGTGGTCTAGTAAAGAGGTCACCTACATCGAACATGTCATGTTCATCGTGGGCTTTTCAGTCAAGTTGCAACCTTCCCTGTTCTTTTGGAAAATATCAACCACCATATCCTCGTTACAGCTTGTCACCATGTTGTCAACTGACAATGATCAAAAAATAATACAAAATGAAAAATAACATTATTCGTACAAAAAAGCAACATTATGAAAACTCATAAAATAAGATATTGAAACCAACTCATGTTCACAGACAAAGTTTAAAAGTGAAAACCAAGATACAAGCCATAAATATAAAAACTATTCAGTGAATCCCAATTACTTTTAATTTATAGGTGTGCATTTCAATAATAACATCATTACTCCTATGCTCATAAAAGGTAACCCCTGAAGAGTTACATTCCTGTAAAGCATCTTGAGCACGGCCTAAAACCAAGGTATTAAACCTCATTTAGTTTTGGTTTAAGACTCGTTTGTAAGTTGTAGTTCAGCAAGTTCTAAGGGATTGGACTTTCAACTACTTATTCAGTTTCAAGTATATTTTAAATATGTTAATATGTTAGATAAAATACAATTGAAACAAAATAACTTAATATGAATTATTAACTTCAATAAAATTTTCCTATTTCAGTTGGATTCAATCAAGGATCCTTAAGCCCATATCTTTTTGCTTTAGTCATGGATGTTCTCACTAGAAAATTACAATAAGTTGTACCCTGGTGTATGCTTTTTTCTAATGATATTCTTCATGTTGATAAGACTAGAGAGAGAGTTGAAGGTAAACTTCAATTATGGAGTGTAACCTTAGAGTCTAAAGGTTTTTGTATGAGTAGATAAAAAACCAAATATATGGAGGGTAATTTTAGTATTTAATAGATCTAGTGGAGGGATTGTGACTTTGGGCGATCAAGTCATTAATAAGAGTACACGTCTTAGATATATTGGGTCTATTGTTCAGAGTGATGGTGAGATAAATGGTGATATTATTAGTAGAATTCAAGTGGGTTGGTTGAAGTGGAGGAATGCATCGGGCTTATTGTATGATTGAAAAGTCTCTCTAAAATTTAAGAAAAAATTCTATAAGATGGTTGTGAGATCCACAATGCTTTATGGTGTAGAATATTGGCCATTAAAAGAGAAGCATCATATTAAGTATTGCAGAGATGGGATACTCAGGTGGATGAGTGGCTTTACTCTTAGGAACAAGATACGAAACAAGCATATACGTGAAAAGATTGGAGCTACTCCCGTGGAAGATAAGATTAGAGAGAGTTGCCTTAATTGTTTGTCACATAAAACGATAGTCTTTTGATGACCCAGTTATGAGAGCAGACGTATTAGATTTGATTTATGTTAAGAAAGGTAGAGATAGACCTAAAAAGACTTGGCTAGAAAATATTGGAAATAACCTTTCGTTATTAGATTTAAATGAGAATTTGATTCTTAACAAGACAATGAAAAAAAATAATTCATGTAGCCGACCCCGCGTAGTGGAATAAAGGCTTGATGTTGTGTTATTATATTAACTTCAATAAAAAAGTGTTTCTAGAAGAAAATTGCATGCATTTAATTGAAAGATGAACAAATTAACCGTTAGTCCCACTTTAACTCAGAATGGGTATCAGCCACAAGTTCTGACTAATACCCACCAAAGCCAATTAAACTCTTGGGTTGATTTTTTACCAGCTGAAATTGAAACTAACCCACTATGGCTTAAATGAAATAATTTCAGTCTAAACTCTTAATTCCCTCTCAAAACAAGCAATCAAACATCAAATGTAGAAAATCGCAATTAATTACACCTTTCTCTTCCATTAAAATAAAAGAACAATTAAAATAGAGGAAAATATCAAAATGGTCGCTCTCCAACTAAAACCAACCCGCTATGGCTTAAATGGAATGATTTCAGCCTGAACTCTTAAGTCTCTCTCAAAACAAGCAATCATCAATTAAGTGTAGCAATACACACTTACTTATACCTTTTCTCCTTCATTAAAATAAAAAACCAATTAAAATGGAGAAAAAGGTCAAAATGGTCTCTAAACTTTTTGTATGGGGCCAATTTAGTCCTAGCTATCTGATGCATTCAATTTAGTTTTAACTACTAAAAAATAATCCAAAATAACCACAATATTAGTTAATTTTGAATCAGCTCTCAGGAACCAAGGGGCTTCAAATCAATTTTGAGGATTCAATGAACTAAATTAGATATATTAAAAATTTTGGGATTAAAAAAATAATAAATAGTCTAGGTACCATTTTGACCTTTTTCTCGGAAAAAAAAAATCTACAATTTGTATAGCAATAATGTTTGGCTTATTTTATTAATATTAGATTTATAAAATTAAAGAGATTAAATTTTATGTTCACTTTGTTAACATAATCTCATTAATCAGAGTACCGATTTAGTTATCTTAAGTCTATTGTTCAGAGAGATGATGAAATACATGGAGATATTATTAGTAGATGTGGGCTCCGAAAATTCAGCCCCGGCCTCCCCGCCGCGACTGTGTGTGCTTTTTCTTCAGCGATGGGAGTTTTAACGGAATTAAGTTCCGGGGTAAATTTTGGAAGGCAGATGGGTTTGTAGATAAGACACTACCCAGAGATTTCTCCCTCATTTTGCGAGGACTTTATGATCTGAGTTCTTGTTTCCTATAGGCGCAAGCCTCTACAGTTAATTACCCCTCCTGATAACGAGAGAACTTTCGATTAAGGCATTGGTATTTGAAAATGTTGGATTTAGAAATTGGTTGAAAGTTGGGAAGAGTTTGGATGTTTGGAAAATTTGATATTTAAAATAGCAATTTCACCATCTTTCACTTAAAGCGGATGGTGGGGGAATGGATGATGGACCCGATCAAGATCCCATGGTTCCGTAGTCCCGGACCATCGTGGTCCGGGACGACTTTCACTTAAAGCGGATGGTGGGGGAATGGATGATGGACCCGATCAAGATCCCATGGTTCCGTCGTCCCGGACCATCGTGGTCCCTGGTCTACTTAGTCAGAGGAGGTAGTCGACCCAACCTGACAGAAGAATCTTTGTCGGCATCCATGAGTTGCTTCGTCCAAGGGGACCTTGTAGACCTGGGGTGAATATTTGTCTAAGGGGACAAATTTGAATCCACCTTAGCTAACACAGGGCTTTGTGCCCTATCGATCATATCCTATTGATTCATATCTCAAGGATTTGATGCCAATTAGGAATGTATTGGCTCTGGTCATAACCGGTATTTCGCGGTGCCATTTGATGGCAAAACCACTTGGTTCAGAGGGTCTCGGGTCATAACAGTTTACCTGCAGTGTCATTTGGCGACGAACACCTACAGTCCACTATTCTCTTTACACTTGCTAGTAAATACACTGCATTTCTTCATTTAATCTTTGCTTGTGAAAGAGGTTACGCTTATTGCAATTAGTTACATCAATTATAAGCGTGATAAGTTGAAATTCGCAAGTCTTTTGTTTGATCATTGATATTCATTGGAAAGATCTAGGTCTTTACTTAGTATTTACATGGAGTATTTGCTAAGTTAAAGTCTCATTCCATGAAATTGAGTTCAAGCTCTCTTGCATCAAGCTCCATGTAGTCCTTGCGTTCGAGATCAATTCATTTTGAATTCTCAATTTAGCTTAAGTTCAAAGTCAAATTTGTGTCCAGTTCATGTTCAAGTACAAGTCTTCTGCGGTCCAAGTCAAATATTTCAAATGTTCAAGTCATGCCCTTGTTCATTTTAATTTGAATATTCAAAAGTCCATTGTCATTTAATATGAATCAAGTTCGTGTACTTTGCAGTTTGTTCAAGTCCCCTGAGTCCTTCTTGCAAGTTCAAGATTGAGTCTTTGTTTAATTCAAATTCTTTATTGCCCAAGCAGCATGTTCAAATTTTAGGTCCCCTGTGGTCTTTTCAAGTTCGAGTCTGAGTTCAAATCAAGTTCACTTGTTACAAGTCCAAGTCCTTACTTGAGTTCAACTACTCAAGTCAAGTTTGAAACAAGTTATTTGTTCATTTTGAGTTTGAATCCAACTAGTTCAAATCATATCCACTTGATGTTCAAATTAAGTCCAAGTTTGAACTCATTAGATTCAAGTATATTTTGCTTTGTATCCAAATATAAGTTCATTTCATAGTTCCAGTTCAATGTCAAAGTTCTTAGCATTTGTTCTTTTGAGTTCAAGTTATGCATAGTCCTTTGTTGTTCAAATGTGTTCAATCAGGTCCTTTGTTGTTCAAATTGTGTTCACCCGAAATTTCGGCAACATCTCGGCGTCTCCCCTGTTTAGGGGCAAACTACGGGAAATTGGGCCTTTCCCACCACGCTAAGAAAAGCGTGTATGGTCTCGGACTAGGACACTGTGGCCGTGTATTTTTTTGATCTCCCACCACACTAATAAAAGAGTGTATGGGTCTTTGGTACCTATTGCAAGAGAAAAAAAAACAGTTGTTTCCCCGCAAGCGGGTACTTATTGGTATCCCCACTTCGTCGTATGCATCGCACCGGGTTCCCATCCCACCACGCTAAGAAAAGCGTGTATAGGCGATTTACCGGTGCGCTACGAACTCCAAAGAAGGGACTTTAAGTGATCACCCGATTTGTTGAGAGCACCGCGACGAACTTCCTCCAACCACGCTAAGAAAAGCGTGTATAGGTGGTAGTTTTATCGCGTTACAAACATCAAAAACGGGTTCTCAAAGTTTTAGGGTTTAGAAGGGTTATACCTGCGCGGGGTTATCGGTGTTGGCACGAGATCGAGGCATAGCATGAGTCATTTATATTAATTATAATTAAAATTGATTAATTACAATCAATTAAATAATTTTTTTAATTAATCACTTTTAATTAATTAATTATAATTAATTAGAATAATTAATTAAAAATTATTAAAATCAATTAAGATAATAAGTTATAATTAATTTAGAATTAATTATAACTTAATTAATATTAATTAATTCTAATAAAATAAAAAATCCCCTCCCTTAAACTCTTCTTGCTCACCGGAACAAGCCGCAGAAGCACGTGAAAGGGGAGGGGGAACTACCTTCCACAGCGTGCAAGCTTAGTTGTGCTTCTCCGATAGATAGACTGTCAATATTGGACACGACCGAAAACCTGATCCGAACCCGGACCCGGAATTTCGG